CTCGAACGGCGTCGGCACGGGGGGGAGGAGGATGAGGAGGAGGAGGAGGAGGAGGAGGAGGAGGAGGAGGAGGAGGTGGAGGTGGAGGAGGAGGAGGAGGAGGAGGAGGTGCAGGCGCTCAAGATCTGAGCGCCTGGATAAACCAGGCGCTCAAGACATCCGCGCGGACCTCCGAGCTTTTTGATGTTTATGCCATCCTTCGTTTCCCCCCCACCGGGTGGCACTCCGGCCGTGGAATGGCCACGGGGATCCCCGCCGCCCTCGTGTCACGGACAGGGCTCCTCCCAGCTCTGCAGCCCTCCAGGCAGCTTCCTCCACCGACGCCCCGAGCGCCCAGTGGGCCCTGGAAACGACAGGGCCGTTTTGTTACCGGTTCCGTTTTGCCGTTTTCTTTGCCGATTCCGACGCCGTTTCTTTACCGGTTCCATCGCCGTTTTTTAACTGGTTCTGACGCCGGGTCCAATCCTGGAGCCGTTCTTTTGCTGTTTCGAGTCGCCGTTTTTTGGCCGTTTCCTTTTTCAAGGGACATCTTTCTGGAAACGGTGAAAAAAAAACGGCCCTGCCGTTCCCGGGGCCCACAAAGCCCCAGCGTGCCTGTCAGCCACCAACTTCTCGAAGCCTCCTAGATGGGGTCCGAGTAGATGGGGTCGGATCTCGCCGCATCGCCGATGCATCGGCGATGCATCGACGATGCGTCGTCGACGTGGGCCGTGCATCGGCGACGTCGACGTGAAGCACATCGGTCTCCGCATCGAGCCACCTCGCCGAGGCATCTGCGATGCGGTGCGAGCCTCCGACCCCGCCTGCTCCGACCCCCCCTGGTAGCCCTACGGTCGGGGGCTTGACCCAAGGAACCCAACATAAGGAACGAGGCCCCTTTTTTTCCATGCGTTCAACTTCGATTTCCGCTCGAAGACATAAGGAAAACCGGAGGCAAGCTGCGACACACTCCAGGAACGCGGAGCCCCTCCCCAACGAAAAGGGTTCCTTCTTCAGGGCCCCGACTGTAGAACCTTGCGCATCGCGCCCCGCGCTGCGCGCTCGTCTTCGGTCCGCTTCGCGCCCCCGCGGGGGACCTTGACCAAAGGGGCTCCGGGGCCCTGGGACACACAAATGAATAGATCTATAAATAACAAGATTCTTCATGTGTTCCAGTATTTTCTGGGTTTTTGTCTTCCCCCCCACTTCCCATATTTCCCTGGGGGTCGACGATTGTGATGTCTGTGTGTTTTCCCCTCCTGATGGACGCGCCAGGGCGCTGGAAACACACGCGGCTGGAATCATGTGTCGAGCGCTTGGAGGCCGCAACCTGGGTGCACATGTCTGGGCGTCGCTGAAGAAGGGGAGGGGGGGGGGCGATCGGGCGGAGAGGGCTGCAGAACCGGGGTCCTTCCGGGCCCCTGAGGGGGCCCTCAAGGGCCCAGAAAGGGGGCCTTGAGGGCCCGAGCAGTGCACTTGTCCCCCCCACCATTCAGCGCCCTCCCTCGTCAAGCGTCGCCCAACATGAGGAAGACCTCAGCGTGCCGGGCGCCCGGATCCAAAACATGCCGCCACCTTTCAGGGACGCATCCTTTGCTCCCGCCGGCCTCCGCCGCCTCCCGCGGGGCCACTGCGGGCCTCGCAGGCGAGGCACTCCCTGGCAGCGCCCTGCGCGTGGGCGTCCAGCGCTGGCCCAGGCCGTGGCCGCCTGCGCCGTGTGGCACTCCGGCCACCCGGTAGGCTTTCGGAGGCCGCGGGTACTCAGCTGCCCCGATAGGCAGCACGCAGCCCGTGGCGCGTCGACACGGAGCGCAACGCGTGAACAAAATACGCAGGCATGGGGCGGTAGGTTCCCCCGGTTCCCCCACGCGCGGGCCAAAACGTGCCGAGCCGACACGCAGCGTCTTAACACAGAAGTTTCTGAACACGGTGCGTGGTGCGCTCCAACACGGGCGTATCAGGGCAACTCAGCGCGAGAAGTCTCTCTTGTGTCGGGGCAAAGGCTAGGTCGGACATGACCCCCTACAGGCGGATTTTGGACGAGCAACAAAAAATACCCTCCAAAATGCACCCAAATAGTCAAAGCATGCTCAAAACATCATCCCCATTCGTTTGTGACTACTTGTGAATCTTCCTCCTGTAGAGGGACATGCACGACTTAACGCAAGGGGGTGGACGCACAGAACGCGCCCAGGGGTAGCGCACGTGGCGCCGCCAGTGGTGCTGGGGGGAGTCCCAACGCCGAGCCACAAGCCTCCCCCCCGACGTTGCGGTTTTCTCGCGACGTGGGCCCGTGAGGACCTCGGCCTGTTTCCGCGGGCCGGCTTTCGTCCCCTGCCGTCTGTTGGCAGCCCCCGAGCAGCAGGGGAACGCGCTCCAGAGGCCGAAATCATCGAAACACCGGCCGTCGCGACTTCCTGGCGACGCCAGGATCTGAAGGGACCTCCGCGCGGACCTCCAGAAGCTGTTTATGCTTTCCTGTCGCTGCCTGCTCTTCGGAGTGAGCTTCGACTCGACGGGCCTCGACCGAGTGGAGCAGGGCGAGTGGAGACAACGGCAGCTCAAAGTTGGCCACTGGACCACTCCTGGGGTCCAAAAGCACCAGTATGCCGAGCTGCGCCCAGCCTCAGGAGGCAACTCCAAGGAGATCCTCGTAACAACGATTCAGCCAGATTGAGTTATGGCGCCCCTGAGCTGAGATCCACCAGGATTAGGCCAGACTCGGCGGGCTTCTGCCAAATTGGTGCTTGTTTTGACCACGCACACGTCTACCAATGCCGATGCTGAGTTTGACCTCCCAGGGGTTGCGTCCGAACCAGCCGTGGCGACGACCCTGAGATCCGACGTTGCGAAACACTTGCAACAACGTGAAAAATCACGACCAGAGCTCTGGACCCCATCTTTCTGCGCCATTCTTCGAGCTGGATCGATCCGTGAGGGTGCCGGAGCACGAAACGGGGCGAAACCGCCCATGGCGAAAACATGGCAACGTCAGGATCTCAGCCCAGAGATCTGGCTGCTCCAATTTTTCCAATGCGTGGCCCCCAGAGGCCCGGACCCTCTCCCCGGGAGTCCCGAATCTTTTTTTGGCGCTCCCGAGGCCCGGCGAGGGCCCCCAGAGGCCGACAGTGGCCCCAAACCGCCCGCTGCAACTTTGCTGGCAACGTCGGAGCTCTGGGAGGCCGAGGGCCCTCCCTCGCAGGCCAGCTGCCCTTGGCCCAGCTCGCCCTCCTCGGAGCCCCGCGCGGCGCGGCGCCGCGCAGCGCCGCCGGCCGCGCCCGCGGGGAGCCCCTGGGCCGCGAGGCGGCGTGGCCCAGCGGCGTCGCTCAACGACGCTGCGCGCGGGGCCGCCTCGAGCCCAAAGGCCGGCCGGTCGGGCGGGCACGCGCGCGCGCCACGGCACAGACCGGCCCAAATCCGAGGCTTCCGCCCCGACAGGCTGCCAGAAGGCTCCAAGAGGCCCGCAATAGGTCCCAAGAGGCCTCCAAGATGCGCGCGCGATGCCACGGCACAAACTGGCCCTCCCGGCGGTCCGCGCGGATTCCTCGGATCCGCGCTGGAGCTCCCTGGCGGCGCCTCCGGCGCCGCCCCTGGCGCGCTCCGCGCGCCAGGGAGGGGGTTCCAGCGCCGATCCGAGAAATCCGCACGGACTTCTGAGCTGTTTATGCTCGTGTCATTCTTCGTTCCCCTACGGGAGGGCCCGAAGGGCCGCCGTCGCCTGAGCCCAGGCAGCCGCCGCAGGGGCGGCAGACAGGGGCTCAGATTAAGTCGGGAGTGTCCCCCCCCACAGGGGGGTTGTCGACGAACAATTCAAAATATCAGAAAAACCATCAAAAATGGTCACAAAATATAACAAAATAGTTCCCGGAATATTTTTGACTATTACTGGCCCGACTTAAGGCTCAGAACCGAGATGCGGGCGGGCGTGTTGCGCCAGCTCGGCGGCCTGAGCCTCCGCTCGGCGGCCGGACGGGATCGCGGGCCGAACGGGCTGCAGGAGCGACCCCCGTGGGGGGGGGGCGATGGTCGACGTGCCTGAGATTCCTCGGGGGGGAGGACAGGTGGGGAGCGGTCTCGAGACCTCGGCTCCGGGGGACTGAAGCTCCCAGGAGCCCTTCTCGGAGGATGGACGGGCCTCTGGGGAGGAGGTGGCGGGCGGAGCCTCCAGAGGGGCGGGGCAGGGGTGGAGGTCGGGGAGGCGGAGGCGGGAGGGTGGAGGAGGGGGGGGGGAGGTCCCAGGGAACGGAGCCGTGCGTCGTGCCTCGCCGTGGGGTGGTGGCGCAAGCTGGCCGCACCGTCCTGGGGAGGGAGAAGGGGGGTGCCAGAAGGGGCGGGAGGGTGGATGGGGAGGATGGGCGCGGCGGGGGGGCGCTGCCGCTGGGGGAAGGAGGAGGGGGTGGATCTACCCTTCCAGTCCTCTAGGGCCGGGCCCCTCGTCACCGAAGGCGTCCTCCTGCGCGCACGGGAGCCCACGCCCTCATCTTGCTCCCTCGCATCCTCCCCCTTCTCCTCCTGCTCTTCCTCCTTCTCCTCCCCCTCCTCCTCCTCCTCCTCCTCCTCCTCCTCGTCCTCCTCCACCTTTTCTTCCTCCTCCTCCTCCTCCTTCCTCCCTCCTCCTCCTTCTCCTTCTCCTCCTCCTCCTCCGCGTCCTCCTCTTCCCCCTCCTCCTCCTCCTCCTCCTCCTCCTCCTCCGAAATTGATTACTAGGTTCGATGTATTAAAAGGTTATTTCTGGTAGTTATGTTACAATGAGTCGGGTTATGTGCTACTACCTTTGTAAATAATTTTATTCGTCTTTCTATCAATCATATTCGTACTGATATCTCGACTACTAATACTACTAGTCTGAGTTTTCTCATTATTATGATTATTCTTGTGCACCGCCTCCTCCTCCTTGTCGTCCTCCTCCTCCCCCGTCCCCTCCTACCCCTCCTCCTCCTGTTCCCTTCCCCTTCTGCTCTCCACCCCGTCCGCCCAAGGCAGCGGCGAGAGGCCTCGGCGCCCGCCCATGGGCCGCCCGCCTCGGGTCGGGATCGCCGTCGAGCAGTCCCTCTGGCAGCGGCGCGCTCTCGATGGCGTCGCAGGGCTCGGCGCCCTCGGGCGCGAGGGGGTCCTGAGAGAGGCGCGCGAAAGCGCCCTCCCCGTGGGGGTGCCGCCGTAAAAAAAGGGCAGCGTGTTACTCCAGGCATCTCCGCCAGGCTGGATGGGCGGCGGGGGGGGGCGCCGGGCGAACCAGACCCGCGCTCGCGGGAGGAGGGCGAGGAGGATGATGATGAGGAGGAAGGGGACTCGACTCGACTTGACCTTGGGCTCAGCAGCCCAGCGTGCGACTACACGGGCACATGGATGCATTCAGCTGCGTGCTCTGGCACCTGTACATCTCTCTATCTCTCTCCCTCTCTCTATGTGTATTCGAATATGTCCTTTTTTGCTTATCTCTCTCTCTCTCTCTCCCTCTCTCTATATATATATAGATACGATCAACCTTGCGGGGAAGTAGTTTCGATGTACCTTCTCTTCTAACGAATATGCAAGGCCCACCAATATTCAAAATGAGTGCACGGGCATATCGGTGCCTCTGCTTTCCCTTGCGTACAAAGACTTTGGCATCGATACTTCTCTTCTCCACTCCCCTTCCTCCTCCCTTTCCTTTCCGAAAGTTCACGGACGCCTGCGAAAAATCAGCGACGCTGCGAAAGGAAAAAGCAGAAACATCTGAAAGGCAACAAAAAAACAAAAACACACCAAAAACTATGAATTCGGGACAACCTTGCCCCGGCCCGTCTCCCCAGACGTGCTCGCGAAATCATTATTGTTTTGCTGTTTTTTGTTGTTTGGTTCTCTGGGGAATTTGTGTTGTCGTTCGGCCTTCACAAAATCATTCCTGTTGAGACTCTCCACATAAGGATTCGTATTGAGATCCTCCACAGAAGGATTCGTATTGACATCCTCCGAAGAGCGGTTCGCGTTGCAACCCTGCACAGAACGATTCCGATCGAATTCCTCGACGCAAGGAGATTCTTATTGAGATCCTCCACAGCTCCTCACCCTCCTCCTGCTCCTCCTCACCCTCCTGCTCCTGCTCCTCTTCATTATGCCCCCTCCTCTCCGCTTCGGGGCGCTACTCACAAATTTAGTCACGAACGCAGCTCCGCAACCAATTTTGCGAGTAACCTCCCGTTGCGAGCGAGACATTACGCGCAAAACTAGTTGTGAACGCGGCTCCACAACTAGTTTTGTGAGTAATGTGTTCCTCCTCGCCTTCGTTCTGCTCCTCGCCCTCCTCTTCTTCCTCACCCTCATCCTCCTCCTTCCCCTCCTCTTCTTCATTCTGCCCGCACTTCTCCACTTCGAAGCATTACTCACAAATCTAGATGCGAACGCAGCTCCACAACTAATCTTGCGAGAGACCTCCCGCTACGAGACATTACTTACAAAACTAATTGTGAACACGGCTCCACAACTAGCTCTGTGAGTAACGTGCTCCTCCTCCCCTTCGTCATGCTCCTCACCCTCCTACTATTCCTCCTCACCCTCCTCTTCCTCCTCGATCGTCTCCTCCTCCTCCTCCTCCTCTTCCTCCTCCTCCTCCTCCTCCTCCTTCTCCTCCTTCTGATCATCCTGCCCGCCCCTCTCTGCTTCCACGCGTCCCTCGCAAATCTAATTGCGAACGCAGCTCCACAAGCAGTATTGTGAGTAACGTGTTGCGCCCCACCCCCACCCCCAAACCCCCAGGCTGCAACAACAAAACGCCCCGCCCCGATGTTTGCCGCGGCGCGGGCATGTCTGCGCCTGGCGCCGCCGGGCTATATTGGGCGCCCGAGTTATCCGGGGTAACTCGGGTCCGGGGTAACTCGGGTTTGGATTCTCGAAAAAGGAACCCGAGTTAGCCCTGACCCGAGTTACCCCTGATGATGTGGGGCTCTGGGCGCCCGAATTATCCGGGGTAACTCGGGTCCGGGGTAACTCGGGTTCGGACTCCCGAAAAACGAACCCGAGTTAGCCCTGACCCGAGTTACCCCTGATGATTCGGGTCTCTGACTATAGGCAGGCCCGCGTGGCGCCGCAGGGGAGGGGGGGAGGGGCGGCCGGCTCCGAGGCAGCCCGGCGGCCCTGCCCAGCGCCCCGCTCTGCTCGTGCCCTCTGGCTGTGGGCGCGGGGGGGGGGCCCTGCTCTGGCGAGGCTCCTCGGCGCCGCGGCCGGGCCCGCCTCTCGGAGAACGAGACGTGGCGGGGCAAGGGCGATCGGGGGGACCGGCTCCTCCGCCTCCTCCTCCTCCTCCTCCTCCTCCTCCTCCTCCTCCGCCTCCTCCTCCTCCGCCTCCACCTGCTCCCCACCCCTCGCGTCGGCGCCCCTGGCGGTCCTCGTCCGACGGCGCGGCGCTGGTTCCGGGATCCCAGTCCTGGAGGGGGAGGGGGTCGAGGATCGATCGTGGATTCGAGGATCGAGGTTCGATGTAAGTCGGGCGTGTCCCTCTACAGGAGGAGCACTCGAGAATAGTAGAAAAATAGCCTGGGGACGATTGTTCTACTATCTTTGAATATTATTTTGCATGTTCAGGCGATGTGTAATTTTTCTTCCAAGATCCGCCTGTAGGAGGACATGCCCGACCTAAGGTTCGATGGAAGAAGATTGAGGAGGAGGGTCGAGGATCGAACGAGGCTCGAGTCTCGATCGGGAGCAGAGGACAGAGGCTCGATCGAAGATAGAACATCTAGGTTCGGCCGAGGATGTCCGATCCAAGTCCAGGGGGTCGAGATCTTCGACGCCTTTGGCTTCTTGGTCGAGGAGCGAACGTCGGGGGACGAGGATCGAGAGAGCGACGACTGTGTTTTGGGCTTTCGAGTCGAGGGTCGAGGATCGAACTTCGAGGGTCGCGGTCCTGGGGTCAGGGACCGATTCCTCGTTTGGGCCGAAGATCCCCGTAGCCACAGCTGGACTCCCAGGAGGCGGTCCGAAAGCTGACCTTCTGCTGGGGGAGGGCGATGGAGGAGGACGAGTAGAGAGGAACGGCTCCAAACCAGCCTCCTCCTCTCCGTCCCCTTCCACCCTCCCTCCTCCCAACTCTTCTCCAGGTGTGGCCACGCGCTGCCCAGTCGCTGGGACACAGGATGGACCCCGCGAGTGCCGTCCTGCCCGGTGCTTCCTCCTCGGGCTCACTGTGCAGGGCTCGCTCCGGCCTCCTGGCATCGTAGGCTGAGTGCGACGAGGGCTCTGTTGCTCCCATCGTACTCAAGGACCACATCCCAGAAATGATTTCGAGCACACAGACAAGTGTCGAAACAGTGTCGAACGAGTATCGCCTCCCCGGACCCGACACGTGAAAGTCCTCAAATTGCGGTACTTGCCTGGTGCTCGTAAGTTCTTTCAGGTGACCAAGGCTAGAGCAGGCTGGAACATCGTAAGACGAGGGCTGAGGCCAGAAGCTCAAGGTGCCCTCGAGGAGGGACGCAACAACGACGGCGGTCACGCCGGGCGCTCGTATGCCGGCTCCTCTTGGTACCCCCTCCTGGTGGTCGGGCCTCCCCGCCTTCCAGCAATGCTCAATGCTAACTTTGCTATCTCCGTAGCATCCGGCCATCGAGCCACAGGCAATGAGCGGCCGTCGCAGGTTTAATAACTGACCGCAACCTCCCAGTAATCAAGTACCCCCCCCTCTCGCACGGAGTGTTGATTATCCACGGCGCATGCAGCTTTGGTCAGGGAAGAGAGGCGACAAGACCGAACACGTTTTATCGCGGGGGGAAGTTGCGGATCGAGGTTGCTCTCTTCTTATGTTGAGTTGCAACAGGTTGCAGTCAAGGACGGTCCACCTTGCGTGGATGCGTGCGCAAGGCGAGGAGCCCAGGAACATCGTCGAACACAGTCGACCGCTGTGCAGCAAGAGAAGCGGAAGCAGGAGAAGCGGAAGCAGGCGGCAAATTAAGAACGCCAGGGTGGCAAACCAGCCAAATCCCGCACGGCGTGTAGCGAGTGGGTGGCTGCCCCAAAGCGATCGAGCGCAAGGCATCATAATCACTCGGTGCGAATGATAGACATACATACGTACAGACACCCACACTCGCACTTCGTGCTGAAACCATCGAGGCAAGACAAGGGTGTTGACCTCCCCGCTGTTCTCATCCTGGGCCCCGGGCGCCCCGGTAAAGATTCACTCCAGAGGGGGGCGCTGAGGGCCCTCCGTCGCAGAGGGTCGAAAAAAGGCGGGTACGGCCAGTGGGGTTGGAGGAACATCGCCCAGGACGGCTCCTGGAGAAGCGACACATTAGCCCGAAGCTGGGTTCGCTCTCTACCCCCTCTCTTGGGCTTCGTCATATCCCCCTGCAGTCAAACGAACTGCGCCGCAGCATGCTGGAGACCCTGGGGCCTCCCTCTCGTGCCTCCCCTTTCCCTCCTCCTCGTCATCGCAGTTTTGCTCGCGCTCCTCCTCCCCCTTATTCGGGGCGCGGATGCCTTAGGCGAAATTTCTGGTTCAAACATTCTCAGCCACGTTGAGCGAGGCCAAAGAAGCACTCTCAAGGTCAAGCGGGGGTGCTAAGTCATCAGTCTGTCAAAATTCGGGACAAAGCAGAGACTCCAGAGACACCCCCACCTCTCACCTAAGCGTGCTCCTCCTGCTGTCTCCTTTCACTTCCCGCCCTCCGTTCTCCTCCTCGGTTCTCGCTATCCTCCTCGATTCTCGACCTCCTGCTCATCCTTGTTTCTACTGCTCCTCCTCCTCCTCCTCCTCCTCCTCCTCCTCCTCCTCCTCCTCCTCCTCCTCCTCCTCCTCCACGTCCCCTCCTCCCTCCTTCTCCCTCCTCTCGGGCACACGCTAACATGGAGTAGGGATCCGCTAATCTAGCGCGCGGGTGCTAGATCCACGGATTGGGAGAGGTACCCAACGAAGCGTGAGGCCAATGCCGTTCGAATCTACACAGAAGCGGGACCCGTCGCTGATCTGCGCGTCGCTGACTCATGCTTGCGCTTCTTCGATACTGCAGGCCTCGGAACAAATCAGCGAACACTCATGATGCCTCATTCATCCGTTAACGGCTCCCCCTCCACCCAATGTTCAAAGTTGGCGGTTTGGCGGCGGGTCTGATGAGATGCAGTTCGACCGCAGTCTCCCCCGCGCGTGCCAACATTGAGGTTGGGGAGGAGGGAGAGTGTTCAATAATTGTTTCCCTCTACCGTGTGCATTGCGACTGTAGACTTCTTTCGTGCGCGCACTAAGCGGAAAGGCCCCAAGGAGCAATCCTCCAGGGCGCGGCTTCGGGGTACCACCCGCAAGCCCCTGGCACTGACCCGCAGGCCATCCCCGGTGGCTGGCGCTCGCAACGGGGTGGACCTGCCCCGATGGCCCCTCCCTGCCACACGCTGTCCAAACACGTGATCCCCCGATGTAGCCTGCAAGATCAGCCCCTCCGAGGCCATCCGGCCGACCTCCTTTCCCCCCCTACACGATCTCGGCACGGGCCGCAGTCTCCCCGAGCCACGACGCCGCCAAGCTGCGCTTCCACCGCGCGGCCGCCTGAGCTCCAAGGCGACGACGACGACGACGACGGCTTTCGTCCTCATCGCCCTCCTCATGCCCGTGCTTGGCGGCGCGTACAAAAGGGGGGTATGGGGGAGCGGGGATTGCTTCTTAGAAGGAGGCTGCTCCTTAGAAGGCGCCAGCCCTACATCCCTGCATCTACAGAGAGGGCTCGCGCCGTCTGAGAAGCAGGGATGCTTCTAAGGAGCCCTCCACCTATACCCCATACCCCCTCTGCGTGTTGCCGACGTGCCCTTCCCCCCTCCCCATGCCCCCTCCCTGCTCCTCCTTTCTCCCACGCCCCCCCCCCTGCTTGGATAGCAGGGGCCCCGTCATTGACTCGAGGGTAGCTGAAGCGCCCCCTGCTGGTGGAACCAGCGGGGCGGTCGGCGCCGGCTCGAGGTCGGGATAGCAACACCAGGGGCTGCACCTGGATGAATGCAGTGGGCGACCGACCCAAGGACCGGCGGAGGTGGGGCCTCTTTCGGGCTTTGGGGGTGTGCCTCCCCCAGGGGTGGGGGGTTGGCTGCGGTGGGACTGTGCCCCTCCCCTTCTCCCTCCTGGCTCCTCCTCTCCTCCCCCCCTGTCCCTTCTCCCCCTGGGGCTCACAGTCCCCCTGCGGTCCACTCCCCCGCTGGGGTTACAAGCCGGCGGCCCCGGGAGAGGCGCGTGGCGCCCGCGAGCTCTGCTGCTGCCATCGAGGTGAAGGCGTGCCACCGCACGGAGGCGGGGGTGCACCGAGCTTGCTCACAGCGGCACACGGGTAGCTTCGGCGATGGCATCTTGCTCCTGTGCGGGCAGGCTGCGCTGTTTTTTCGCCTCGTGGGGAGGCAATTTTCGGCGTCGAGGGCGAGGCTTGTGGTCCGTCTCCAAAGACTCAAAGAGTCCTCCTTTCCCCCACGCTACCCGCACTCTCGGCCCGCTCCTCCCCCTCCTCGTTCTCCCCCCCTCCCTCTTGCCCCTCGCCCTCCTCCTTCTCCTCCCCCTCCCCCCCCCTCCTTCCCCTTCCTCCTTCCTCGTTCTCCCCCTCTCCTCCCCCTCCTCCCCCTCCTCCCCCTTCTCTCCCTCTTGCCCCTCCTCCTTCCTCGTTCTCCCCCCCTCCTCCCCCTCCTCCTTCTCCTCTTCCTCCTCCACAGCTGCTCACCTAAGACGTCTTGTGAATACTACTCTCCTCTCTCCCCTGGCCCTGTCCGGAAGAGGTTCGGCCCTCCACGCGCACTGCTATTCGAGACGAAAGATGTTCAACGCTGATTTGCCTCACGGCTGTTTGCGCCCGTCGATCAGCATGGCGCTCCCGCCCCGGCGCGGACCACTTTTCTAGATCCGAGGCTGGTTTCATTGTTGTCGCTGCTGAAGGCGACTGTTTGCAACAGTGCTTCTTATGTGGGAGACTCCACTGCTGGAAACCGGCGCGAAAAAACAGCCAAGATCTACTCCATGGGGGGGGGGGAGGCGGTGCGAGGGCCCGCGCTGATCGGCGAAGCAACGAATAAGAGAACGATCATATCCCCGACGGTTGCTTCAATCGAGCGTTCTCGGCGTATCAAGTTGGTGCTGTCGCTGCAGCATTGGCCTCAATTAGGCGCTCTGCTCCTATCATTAATCATGGCGCTCTCCCCTTAGCGCGGGCCACTTCTCTGGAAACTATTGCTTCCTCGTTGTTGTCGCCACCTCATTTCCCCTCATCCGCCTTCCCCTGTTCCTCCTGCTCCTCCCGCTCCTTCCACTCCGATTCCTGCTGCTGCTGCTCGTCCTCTTCCTCCTCCTTCCTCACCTTCCTCCTGCTCCTCCTGCTCATCCGCCACCTCCTCCTCCAAGGTACGCAACTCCCCATTTTCCTATTGCGCACAACTCGATAGGGGTCCGTTTGGAAGCTCCTTGTCCGC